CCGTGGAAGGGGTGGGGCTGCAGGCCCAGCTGCAGTTTGGGTACAGGCTGCAGATCACCTGGCAGCACTGTGCACTCGCTGCACAGAGGTAGGTGGCTGAGTCCTCCAGTTGGGAGGCTGTGATGCTCAGGGTACTGTACAGGTCCTTAGAATTCAGTGTGGAGCTTAATCTTCCATTGTACTTTGTCCGTGAAGTCAGGTAAAATAGATTGATGAGGCCACCCCCAGGATTCTGTCGGAACCACTGAATATAGGTCACTGTGGTTGAAAAATTGCACCTCAGAGTAGAGCTGGTTCCCTCCTGGAGGCTCAGGGCTGAAGGACTCTGCTCCACCTTCATCCCTCTCACCCCTGCTTGGAAAGAGAAAAACAAACACAATTAATGCCACTGGGATGAATGATGCAGTTTCTAGACCTGTAAAATGTCCCAAGAAACACCCAAATGGGACTGTCTAGGAGCTCTGTGTCAGCTCTCCCTTCCTCCAGCCCCCACTGTCAGCTGTGGACCACTCCCCAGCTCCCCATCTGGGACACCCGAACTCACAGCAAACCTGGGCCCACAGAAGCCCCAGCAGAGCCCCCAGGTGTCTCTCCATGACGTCTTGCCAAGGTGCTGTGGTGCCTTTGCCCCTGCTCTGGAGGGTGTAGAGTCCTGGCCAAGGCAAATTTTGTTCCTGCACTCAGTGTGTTCACCAGACTCACTGAGGACCAATCACCTCTCAGCTCTGTCATTCATCTTAACAGCAAACTCCACCCACATTGGCCCAGTGACATGGCACAGTCATCTCTCCAAAATTCTGGGTACAAACAGTGCATGAGGTTAAGAGGCAATATATACAATTTATGAAGATATAAAACTTTTTATTCTTTTAAAACACTTATGTATGATAAGTTTGTGGTTAGTGTTTGAGGAAGAGGGTATGATGTTTCTGAAATAATCAATTTCTCAGTAGGTGAAAAATAACCTTGAACAGTCCTAGGAAGAGTAACCTCATTTCCCAAATTGCATATTTTGACAAAGAATTAGAGAATTCAGTTAAGTGAAAATTCTGATAAAGGATACTATCTCAGCATGTACTGTGTATTGCAGAAGTAAATGATTTTCTTGAAATCAGGAGAGTTCTAGAAAACAAAACATATAGTCACCATCAACATAAAAATAAGTCCAATTGGCTTTGTGATAAATTAGATATGTTTATGAGGTCCACTCTGACTTACTTTCCACCTCTCCCCTTCTCATGTCCAACTCTTGAGCACCCTGTTGATCCACATAGATGACCCTGCTCCAACCACACTTTACTGATTAAATTAAATATTGTCCTCTCCCTTTTCTGCTATTTTTGTTCCTTATGTTTTCCTCTATCTTCTTCTCTTAATTCTTGTTGCACTTACTTTCATGGAGATATACAAAAAGGTCGTATATTTGTGATAATGCAATACTTTTCCAGGTTAGTGGGTTTTGGGACATTAATCCTAACAATTAAAAAATGAAAACAGGTTACAGAGATATTTACTGTTAAGCTTCCATGCTCACGATGACCAGTAACATTCTTACTCCTGTATTTCTGCTCAGAGAATCACAATGGATTTATAAAGTAGGGACTCCAGCTCTCTGATGTTCACATAAAGTGGCAGAGCTGAAAACTAAGATGAACTTCACACAAACACTGTCTCTTCCCTCTCCCCCCTCATCCTCTTTGCTGTCTATAATTTGACTGGCTCATATGCTCATTTTCCTCCTCTCTTAACTGTTCAACCTGCTGGGACCATAAGAAGTCATTAATGAAAAGCCTACAGTGCCCCCTAGTGGGCTAAAATCATCAATATAGAGGACTTCAGACCAGCTAACTCAGTAGTCACACAACCCCCAGCACCATTCACTCCATGTTTCCTGATGAAGGAAATGCAGACAGAAAACAAAGTAACTTGCTAGATTGCATGGGGATAATAAATGAACCAAATCCTACTTTTAAAATATCATTTTATGAAAATTAATACCTTAAAATACTTTGGTAAGACTCATGTTGTGCTCCTCACTTGTTTTCTTTACCTTAATTTGAAATAAATCCATAAATATTTATTAAAGTTTTCGTGTAAAGGGGATAATTTACTAGATCTTAAGAATGTTTAATGAATCCAAGGTGGCTGCAGAGTAATGGCTGTTACACTCATCTCCCCCAGTACTAAACCAGATTTATAATATAACTAAACTAGAGGCCCAGTACACAAAAATTTGTGCACTCGGGGGGGGGGGTCCATCAGCCTGGCCTGGGCCCTCTCGCAGTCTGGGACCCCTCGGGGAATTTCCAGGGGGATGTCCACCTGCTGGCTTAGGCCCGCTCTCCAGGGGAACGGGCCTAAGATGGCAGTCAGACATCCCTCTGGCAGCCCAGGAGTCCTCGGGGGATGTCCACTTGCCAGTGATTACCAGGCCTAAGCTTCAGTTGGGCATCCTTAGCACTGCTGAGGAGGCGGGAGAGGCTTCCACCATCACTGCTGTGCTGGCATTCGCCAGCCTGGCTAATGGCTGAGCAGAGCTCCCCCTGTGGGAGCGCACTGACCACCAGGGGGCAGTTCCTGCATTGAGCGTCTGCCCCTTGGTTGTCAGTGTGTGTCATAGTGACCAGTCATTCCCAGTTGTTCTGCTGTTAGAGTCAATTTGTATATTACCCTTTTATATATGCCTGGTGCAGGGTCGGGGCTGGCTGGGTTGCCCTGAAGTGTGTCCCGGATCAGTGTGGGGGTCCCTCTGGTGTGCCTGGCCAGCCTGGGTGAGGGGCTGAGGACTGTTTGCAGGTTGGTCAAGCCCCCCAGTAGAGACCCTCACCCCTTAAGGGTGTGACCAGCCTGGATGAGGGGCTCATGGCTGTTTGCAGGCTGGCCATGGCCCCCGGAGACCCAAGCTCCCAGCCCCTCCTTTATTTCATTTTTTTTTCCAGCACCTCCTTGAGCGAAGGAAAGCAGGTATCTGGGATTTACACCATGAGCCTCTCACCCAGGCTGGCCAGGCATCCCAATGGGGCCCCCACCCTCAAGGGGTTGTTGCCAGCCTGAAAACAGCCCTCAGCTCCTCACCCAGGCTGGCCACACCCTCATGGGGTGAGGGTCCCTGCTGGGGGGCTTAACCAGCCTGCAATTATCTTCTATAATTGAAACTTTGTAGCATTGAGCGGAGGCCAGGGCTGGCCAGGGTGGGCAGGAAGCTTGGCTTCCTCCATCGCTGCTGGGGGCACAAGCCTCCTGTTCGCTCCAGCTCCATGGCTGCCACCATCTTGGTTGGGTTAATTTGCATTCTTGCTCCTGATTGGCTGGTGGGCGTGGTTGTGGGTGTATCCAAGTGACAGCCATTTGCATGTTTCTCTTTTATTAGTGTAGATAACAGCCTTTCTATTTTTATCAGTGGCCCCTCAACCTTCATTCTTTTACAATTCAGAATCTTGTATGAATTATTTAGAAACACACATTTCTAAATCCTCTAAAAACACATTAGGAGAAGGTGGAAAACCCTCATCATCAAAATTGTGTGTAATAATTTTGTGCAAAGTGTAAAAAGTTGAATAAAGGCAGGATTAACTGTCTTTCTTATAACCTTCACATTTATTTACTGTCAATTTTAATATCCTTTTACATGAAATATATCAAAAAGAGAAATTGGGAGTCATACTTTATCAGAGAAATGTGTGGATGGTCTTTCTCCATTGCTAATGGGAATGTGGTTCTTACGGTATCTCAAGAAAAAGAATTTCCTGAGACAATTATGGGAGAACGAGTGATTTTTATTTACATGCAATTACAACCTTGGGTTTCCAAAATCCCATTTCCCTTAATGCAGCCCTGGAAGAGGTGCAGCAGGGGATTCAGAAGAGCTAGAAGCGTTCCATGTGGAGCTGGGGCCAGTTCAGCATTAGGCTAGTTACGGTCCATCAGCCCGTTTTGTGGGGTCCACGTGGCTGTGAGCAATGTGGGCAAATGTAAGGGAGCCAGGAGAGCACACCCCCTGCAACAAGAGTCCCAAGAGTGCAAGCAAGAGAGCTAACTGCTTTGTTTAGGAGATTAAATATCTCAAATCTTCCCACACTTGCAGTGGCCACATCAATGACCTATTCCCAGGTGTGAATGGCAGACTTTACTGGGCATGTGTCTATTGCCCACTCTATTCTGTCCCTTTCCCAGGATCTGTGGGTAACAGACCTGGAGAGGGTTCAACTGCAGCTTCCTAGCAAAGCTGCAAAAATGGCATTCCCATAGTATTTGGCCTTCCCTTTTGCTCCTTCCCAGTTAGTCATAACTTAGGTTAAATTACAATGCTGTCAACAGCAATACAGAAGATATCTTAAATATTTTAACTAATTCTCCTTTTTTTATATCAATGTTTTAGTGCATTGTTTTCTAAACAAAAGCCTGCCTTTGGCCCTTGCCAGTTTGGCTCAGTGGGTAGAGCGTCACACTAAGGACCAAAGGGTCCTACGTTCAATTCCAATCAAGGACATGTAACTTACTTGCAGGCTCCTCCCCGGCCAGGGCCCTGGCCAGTGCTCATGCAGGAGGCAACCAATTGATGTGCTTCTTTCACAATGATGTTTCTTTCTGTTTTTCCCTCTCTTTTACACTCTCCTAAAATAAAACAAAATAAAATAAAATAAAATAAAATAAATTAAAATAAAATAAAGTACAGGTTCAGCCAGGGGCTCTGGTGGGGCACCTGTGGGAGGCAACCAATCAATGTGTCTCTCTCACATGATGTTTCTCTCTCTCCCCCAGCCCTCTTCCACTCTCTCTAAAAATCAATGGGAAAAATATTCTCGGATGAGGATTAACAAAACAAACAAAAAAAAACAAAAAAAAGCCTTCCTTTTATTTCTTAAATACATATGGTATATGCAGGTCTATTTATCCTAACTCTCTATTAATGTGCATAAAATATTGGAAATTTGTATTTGATGTTAAATAATAAAATCCACCACAGTGGATCAAACAGTCACAGACACTCAGCAGCCAGGCGCCTTGTTCAGAGTTTGTGCTCAGCTCCCCCTGCAGTTTCTGTCACTGTGTCACGCAGTGCACAGTAGTACATTGCAGAATCTGACTGGTGGACTGAGGCTTTCTCCAAGTGGAAGGCATTTGGTTGTTTTTGGTATGTGGCTACAAATCCTTTGCTGCTTCCATTCTCGTTGACCCTTGTGGCTTTCAGGAGGAGCTGTGGACCTTCTCCAGGATACTGAACATACCAGAAAAGAGCAGGGAACAGTATGGTCTCATAGGAGCAATTCACAGTCAGGGGAGCCCCTTCTGAGAGAGTCACTTGGCCTTTTGTCTGGGTCACCGAGTCTCCATGGATTCGTCCTGAGGAAAAATAAAAGAGAACTCTGTCACCTTGGGCATGAAGCTCTTCAATAAAATTAAAGTTAAAGTATTTCCTGACATAATAGAAGAAATAGTCCATATTTTAAGAGGAGTGTTACTTACCAAGCACTAAGAGTACCACAGTCACTAAGCCCAGAGAAGAGTTCATCTCTACAGTATCATCTAAATAATGTTCTTGACTCTTAACATGAAGAAATGCTGAAGTCACAGTGAAATGATAAATATACCAGTAAGCCTGTATTTCACACAGGAAATGTGTTTGTGTTGGGAAGCTGCACCCCCTGGTGGACAGGGAATGAGATGGATGCAAGATTCTTAGGCTCCTCCCAAAGTGGCAATATGGTCTCATCTATGACTTTACTTGTTGAGGAACAATCAGTCTTTAGGTGGAGATTAGAAAATTGAACAAGAGTTATCTTAAGCTCTCAGGTTGAATTTTTTTTTAGGACAAAGGCTAACATGGAAGTTCTTTAACAGAGTATGCAGGGTTTTTCTTTAGTTGGAAGAAAATCAATTTTCTTGAGTATTTTAATACTGTACTGTATATTCAAACCTACATATTGTGGTCCTGCCTATAATCCACTAACTGTCAGAAAAAGTATGGGGTTGAAATCAGAGGAAGTAATAAAAAGTCAAGTCTTTATTGAGTGATTCTTCACTTTCTAGCACTGTACCCCAATATTGTAGCATGATTGACATTTATTATGTGCCTACTAAATATTTGATAAATTAAACAGAAATAAACAGTCTTTCATTGAGGATTCACTACCACATGGCATACAATACTTCCTCAGTTTTAAAATTTTACCAATTTTAAGAAATGCTATCTTTTTAATCAATTTTTTTCAGGAGAAAAAAATACCTATTTTATCAATAGTCAAATATTTCTGAATTTCTTTATCATTTTTAAAAGTATATATTTTAAACAAAAGAAACATCATATTTGAAGTTACCAAATCAATAAAGAGTGATCTTAGATCAACATCTTAATCTCACTCTGTTTTATTCATTCAAAGATAAGATAGCTAACCCATGTGAGTCAGGCAAGGAATACTAGACCTATAGCCTTAATGCAAATTTAGTATCAAAAATGCTTTCTACTATCATCCATTTGCCACATTTTGTGGCCAACCTTGAATAAAATAATGTTCCCCCACAGGATAGAGAACCCAGGAGATGTGGATTTGCCTCAAAAACCTGGAGCATAAGTTAGAGTTCTCTTGTTTATCTGTTATCAATTGTAAAGATATACTAGCTGATATTCATACAACAGCAAAGAGTAGAATCAATGTGTAAGTAATTTAAAAATATAGATTTTAGAATCTCAACACTAATTTCATAAAACATATATTTTAGGTTTGAGACCTACTATTCTGGATATTTTTTTTAAAGCTCCCCCAAGTTGTTTTGTTTCAGTCAGCCTGATATCCATTTACAAGATTTCATTTGTGGTAACTGTCCTAGACCAATAGGTGGTTCTGAAAAATCAGGGAGAAAGCTCTGGGATCAGCATGGGGAAATGTCCCTATGATTACACAAATTTTTAAAAACTAGTCATTTTTTTATGAAGTGCCAAAGCAAGCACTTTTTGAGTTCCCTTTTTATGACTTTAATTTGTTTTATAAAACAAAACAAAAAACATTTGAGGATAATGAGGATAAAGTTCTGGAGAAGGACCCATCTTTCTATAAGACCCTGCAAGCACTTATCCACAGACACAGGTATGGAAGCTTCGTTCAGGCTGTTTCCTGCAGCTCTTTCTAAACAGATTCAGATCAAGGGGCTTCATGAGTCCTCTGAGTGAATGTGTGAATAGTCTCCCAGATGTGAACTTAAGAAATTCAGGCCCAGATAATTATGTCAAAACCTGCCACAAAACTATGCTAGAAAGGAATTCTGAAAAAGCATCTACAAACTTCTATTGTGATGTACAAGGAGAAAAACAAAATAAGTGGGGATGGTTCTTGGTTGAAAATAAATGGCGCAACACATGGGTATAGAAAGTAGTTATGTATACTTGTTTAAAAAACACATAATTTGAAGCCAATAAGAACCAACAGGATAAATATTTTGCATTTTATGTCACACAAGAAATTTTAAGGGGAGATATTTGTTAAATTTTTATTTTAATGGTTTTATTAACCTATACTTTCATTAAAATAAACTGCACCTATTTAAAGTAAATATTTTTATAAGATTTGACATTTCTATATACTTGTGAAGCCATAACCACAATCAAGATAATGAACATATGCATCTCTCACAAAGTTACCCATGTCTCTTTTTATTTTATTTTTTCATTTTATTTTATTGCTAAAGTATTACAAAGAGCAGTACATATGTCTCCTTTTTTACCCATTGACCTTCTCCCAATCTCCCCTTCCACCCAGTATCTTGCGTCCATTGGTTATGCTTATATGCATGTACACAAGTCCTTCAGTTGATCTCTTACCTCCCCCCCCCACCCGACCCTCCTCAGCCTTCCCACTGTAGTTTGACAGTCGTTAGATGCTGCTCTGCCTCTGTATCTATTTTTGTTCAACAGTTTATAATGTTCTTTATTATCCATAAATGAGTGAGGTCATGTGGTATTTTTCTTTCATTGACTAGCTTATTTCACTTAGCATAATGCTCTCCAGTTCCATCCACGCTGTTGCAAATGATAAGAATTCCTTCTTTTTTACATCAGTGTAGTATTCCGTTGTGTAGATGTACCACAGTTTTCTAATCCATTCATCTGTTGATGGCACTTAGGCTGTTCCCAAATCATAGCTATGGTGAATTGTGCTGCTATGAACATAGGGATGCATATATCCTTTCTGATTGGTGTTTCTGGTTTCTTGGGTTATATTCCTAGAAGTGGGATCACTGGGTCAAATGGGAGTTCCATTTTTAACTTTTTGAGGAAACTCCATACTGTCTTCCATAGTGGCTGCAAAAGTCTGCATTCCCACCAGCAGAGCACGAGTGTTCCCTTTTCTTCGAATCCTCTCCAGCACTTGTACTTTGTTGATTTGTTGATGATGGCCATTCTGACAGGTGTGAGATGATACCTCATTGTTGTTTTGATTTGCATCTCTCAGATGATTAGTCACTTTGAGCATGTTTTCATATGTCTCTTGACTTTCTGAATGTCCTCTTTTGAA